AATTTTCAAAGTAGATACTATAAAATTATTATTTATGCCTCCTCCTCCTTCATTACTTATACCAAATAAGACACAAAATCCATCTTTCTTTTTGTCCTGGACTTGTGTCTGCCCTGCCCAGACCCGGTCTGCGAGGCACAGGTTCTCCATTGTTAGCACCTCACTGCTCCTAGCGACCCTTTCTCAAGAATCACACCTGGCCGGGCAGGAGCAGCTGCTGTGAGTTATGTGTTCCTGCTCCTCTTACCTCCCGCCTCCTCACCACTCCTCACCTGAGGGGGGGCCCAATGGTAGTGATTAACAGAACCCAGGTGTGTAAAATACTGCCCCTTTACCTTTGAGTATGACTAACTCTGCAGCAAGTCACACGACAGAGCTTCTTGGTTGTTAAAGGAAAGCGAGGCTCCATTTGAGACCACATCCCTTGTCCACTCCTTCCTCTGCCCTGTCCCTCTTTCCCTTCTGCTGAGAACACTCCTTAAACACACCCTTGCAAACCTGAGTTCCGGTCTCCTTGTCTGCTCCCAGGAAATCTGCCTTATGACACTGTTCTTCAAAATATTTCTCCGTTTATCTCTTTCTTGGTATTTACATATTCCTCATTTCATGCCTAGATGAACTCTAACAGCTTCCGAGAACATAAAACTAGTTTTTATAGTGCTCATCTTTTCAGCATTTTCTGAACCTGAACCGTTTTCCGGAGCTATCTTTGTAAATTATGACAGGCAGAGTATTGTAGTTGTTAATGCATTACTTGTGCTGCCAGACTGCTGGGTCTGAATTCAATTTTCACCACCTATTAATTAAATGATGAATGTCTTAATATCTTCATTTTTTAGTTTTCGATTTCTTAGGAAATAGCCTGAGAGCTTGGGAGTCCAGCCTGAAGTTTGTTCTGCTGAAGAAGATAGGGCGCTGGGGTAAGCCGAGAGCCTGCATCTGTGGGACCTGGACCAGTCCAGTCTGTAGGGGCCTGGGGACCCAAGAGCTGGCCTGGGTCAAAGGCCAGGGTCTGTGGTAGTTAATCTGGTCGGGCCTAGTCAGGAAACTGGGTCTGCAGGAGGTTGCCTGCCTTCAAGGTTTCAGGGGACCTACTGGGAAGCTGGGGCCACAGGAGCCTCCCTGGGTTCTGGGAGGATGCCAGCCCTTGGATGTGCTGGGAGCCTGGGGCCACGCGTGGGTGCTGCCTGGAGCTGTGGGAATTGCCTTTGGCCAATGAAGCCCCCCCCCCTTTTTTTCCTGAAGTTGGTACAGAGCTCTTATAAACCATCAAGTTAATTGAGATTGCTAGGTAAACGTTGCATTTAATAAAATAGAAAAAGTGCGTTATTCCTCAATCATCAAAGATTACGTTTATAGCCCTGGCCGGTTTGGCTCAGCAGCGGTTAGAGAGTCAACCCAAGGTCCAGAGAGACCCGGGTTCGGTTCTCGCTAAGGGCACGTACCTGGGTTGCAGTTTGTCCCCGGCCCTGGTTGGGTCATGCGGGAGGCAGCCACTCGATGTGTCCCTTTCACGTCGATGTTTCTCTCTCTCTCTCTCTCTCTCTCTCTCTCTCTCTCTCTCTCTCTCTCCCCCCCTCGCTATCTGAACAACAACAACAAAAAAGATTACGTTTATAACTAAGGTTTCTCTCAGTACAGAGAAACAGAACTGCTTGCCTACCCTTGAGTATTAATATCTAACTTACTTATCAAGTAATGTTTTTAATCTATGTAATGTTTAAAGTGTTTCTAAATATATCATTTCAATTACTACTTTTGATCTCAATTATTTTCATGATATGAGTGCTCAGTAAAGAACATTAAAATAATATATATGTTCTTGACATAGTTAAGTGTAATATTAAATGTGGACACAAAATGAAAACAGAGCATGGTGCTTAATGTAAAGCTCAGTGTTTTGGTCTGTAGATCATGATCTTTTATGTCCTCACATTTTTCATTTGTTTTTATTTGATCAGGAATTATTGCATGCTCATTCTAAAGAGTTCAAACAATGTATGCTTATACATTTTTAAAACATGTTAATCTCTCCCTTATACTGCCTACAAGCCCTACTCTCCAGGATTAAGCTTTGTTAACAGTCCAATTTTCAGCATCTGACATCCCTGATTACAGGCAGCCTACTTATCAAAAAAAAATTCTCTATATTTAGTATTCACATTCAAATGTTTTATTCACTTGCTGCTGATTAATTATTCTGGGCCATTTTTGAGAAGTTTATATTTATTTTAGAATTTCACAGATAAATTTTGATTATTTTTTATTCTGAGAATATATTAATGTGTCATTTTATGATTATTAGCCTTTCAGAGCTAACCTACTTAAAAATATGCCTAACAATAACCTAATGTATCTATATGGATATGGTGTTTCATAACTACATTGATAATTGTGATCTACATCATGCTAAATGTACATATATAATATAACCAGCACACAAAGTGTTTTATGAAGAGCCCTTCAATGATCATAATCTATTAACTTAAATAGAAACATATTTGAAAGTTTTAATGATGAGATCATTTATATGAAATTATGTAGACTGATCTTTATGGATGATTATTTAGTAAGTGCTTATGACATTAACTTGCAATGTCTTTCTTAAAAGAGCAGCAAATTATTATCTTAATGCGAATTATTTCTTTTTTATTCAAAATTATTATAATGGTCCAAAATTTTTCAGTGCTAATGATTGTAACATCAGTTATATTTTTCCCAAAGACAATACTCAGTTGTGCTAATTAAAATACAATTTATGGCCTGGCCAGGTGGGTCAGTGGATTGAGCATAGTCCCATGGACTGAGAGGTCCCAGTTCCATTCCAGGTCAGGACATATGCCCGGGTTGTGGGCTTGATCTTGGGTAGGGGGAGTGCAAGAGGCAACCAAAGAATGTTTTTCTCTCACACCGATGTGTCTATCTCTCCTTACCTCTCTTGCTAAAAAATCAATAAAAAACATATTTAAAAAAGATAAATTAAAAATCCATTCATTTATTACTATCATTAAGATTATTATTGGTTTAAACAAAAGAGCTAATTTTGCATTAATTACAATCAGTTCATTGTGCAAAAGTATATATAAAGAAGTGCAATGTACCTGCAATTACTGAAACAAGTGCTTGTTTTTTTTCAGGTACCCCCAAAATATTTTTCACATATTTGTTAATATATGCATGTTTAACATAGAAACATAAATATATTAATTACTTGTAAAACAGATAGTCCTAACATTTTAAACCATGGTGTAAATATAAATCTTTATTTGAATTAATTTAACAGATAGACTTAGGCTAAATTTTTTATCACATTTAAAGAAAATGTAAGAGATTGACAAAAACATTTAATTTAATATCTGTTAAAAAATAAAATATTTAAATGTTGAGAATGATATGTATAAAAGTAATACATTGCTAAGATGTTTTAAAGTAATCTAAACCAAGAAGAAATTTTACTTCTTAATAACCTGAATTAAGAAACAACTTGCATAATTAAACAAATTATTTAGAAAATATAATAAGAGCCTGGATTTAAAAAAGTAATAGAGAAACCAATGTAGAATATAATTAATATGGGAGAATTGCTCAATATGTTGGTTAAAATGCTTCAAGTGAGAAATATTATATTACTAACAATAAAAGGCTACAAAATAAGATTATATGGATTATATTAAACACTTCTCTCCTTAAAAATGTTAATGAACATTTGATGACTTAATATACTTTCAAATTGAGTCCCTTTATCTTCTTAAATAAATATATATATAATTATTTAACTAATTTATCAGTTAAATGAAGTAAATTTAGCAACATTCAAATTAAGAATATATTTTATAACAGAATTTTTATGTAAATACTATTTAAGTGGTGGCCTAGGATAATCTGCATATTTGCCACACATATTACAACCTAAATGTTACAATAATTATGACTATCTTTTAATGCAATATCATAAAAATATTTCAAAAATAAGTAGGAATAGTATATTATTAGACTTATTCCCTCAGTTAACCCACAGGTTGAACCCTACATGTTCCTTCCTATGCATTTTTAGTGTATTGGTTCAAATTTAGTGTCCACATTTTAATATTGTTACCATGGACAAAATAGAGCATCATTTTTTCTGAAATCACTTTAATAGTCCACACTCATATGCATCCATATTATGTAGATAATACAATTTAAGTTAAAAATTATTAGGAAGAGAAGTCCATTAAATCTTTTAATATGTAGATAATTAAACTTTTATATTAATTTATTAGTATTAGTAGAATTAAATGACACATGTTAAGGTAATCTAAGGCTGTTTGCTCATATATTTAATTACTTAAAATAATAAGTATCAATATTAAATTAAAATTATTTTTTCACTTAAAATAAGAAAAACTGAGTAAAAACCCAACATTAAATTCAATGAATTTTAATAAGTAAACTGATAACAAATCAATATGGTACAAAATAAACAAATGTCTAGTTTGTGAAACTTAAAATTATCAATTATAAATACAAAAGAAATGTTTAAAAGTGTATTAGCTTTCAAATATATCAGGCCTTAAAAACACGATTAGTATGTAATAAGTTAAATAACATTTAATAAATATAAAATAAAACTATTAATATGAAATACTTTGAGTTTCCCTGTTGGAATGAATAATATGTACCCAAGGTAACCTGACTTTCTTTCAATTTTAGCAGAAAAGCATATCTCATTTTATATCCTAGGAATATACTCCTAAGTCAAAACTGAATCTCACTGTTTACAACTGTGAATCATATAAAACAGAGTATTTATCAACCGTAATTGGAAGAAGTTGTATTTTTGAACTGTTTATATTTGCTTTATTTCTAAAAAGATCACTTAAATAAGTAAAAAAAAAATACCCAAGCTTTCTTAGAAATATAAATTCTTCATTCTCTAATCATAATATTTTGCAATCTACATACCAGATGATCACTTTTGAAAATATGAATACATGTTTCCAATAGACAGATTACTCTACCTATGTGCAGGTATCTTTCGGTTCCCAACAATCAGGATAACGTCACAGAGTTGCTGTTGTTTCAAGTAACTTTCCATTTTTCTGAAGGTTTGCTCAGCATGGTGAACAGCCTGATAGAATTCTTCAGAACTGCTGGAGTCCAGATCACTTGGAGGCGTCAGTGAATGGCTAGTTGCTGACAGTCTGCAAACCACACACACAAAAGTTGGTGTTTATAAAGTCCCACCAATTGTCCAGAACTACATACAGAGTTTTAGAAATTTGCAAGGAAAATCAATAACTCTCTTTATATTCATTATTAATATCTAAAAATAAAATTTATTTTGGGTTAAATGATTTTCACCAAGAAGCAGTAAATGAATTGTAAATTATCAGTTCTTCTGTCTTAAAATGATTTAAAAGATAGGTTATCTGTATATATAATAATATAAAATTAATGAACCTGAAAAAGTCACACAGTAAAATACAAACATGCCTATTATATAATTAATTACTCATAAAATATTAATTGAATCTATATGATATTGCAGTAGATCATCTAATTATACTATTCTAAATTATGATTCTTGTAAAGTATAGTCGTAACTGTTGCTTTACAGAAGTGTGTGAATTTTATTATGAGAAATTATGAAACATGGTTTGTGAAAGATTGACAGTAAATTGTAAATTGTTGAGTTTCATATGCTGTACCTAACTGATTAAACCAAAATATGCAAAGTTACAGAATACATTAGCATAATACTTATATTTTAATCAGATATATACAAAAATATAAGTAATAAACTTCATGATTTCAAAAAGTCCATGATACTTAAGTATGGCTACTACATCTATGAATATCACAGACTGTTTCATGATGAATACTTTAAATACCATACTCCATATCAAGGAGAAGGCTCTCAATATCCTTAGATGTATGATATGCCCAGAAGAACAAATCAAGTGTTCTGATGACAAATCCTTAAAACAATTTAAAAATGAAAATAAAGTAGATCCATAGCAATAATAATGAAATAGCTTATTCCAAGAAAGTAATATGGAGAATTCGGCTTCCAATTACAATGCAGTAACTTGTAGCTGACTAAACCCTCACCAAAAACACCCAAAAAAAGTTATATGTAATATCAAAATAATTGTTTCAATTTAATAATAGCTACTAAAGAAACTATGATATGAAGAGCTAAGATCCTATAATTAAGGCAAATTCATGGAAGACAGCTCAATGTTGTACACTGTTTTTTAACCCCTCTCTAGGTATTTACTAATTATAAGCAGCATAGGGTGAGAGTATCTGACAGTATCTGGGGTTTGGGGGAAATAACTGATATTGGATTTATGGGTTACAAAGGCAACCAGAAAAGTAAATAAGGGACCATAAAGGAAGAAAGATCAGGCAAGGCTGTCATTGTGTACCACTTTTCCCCTAGAGGTATTTGCTGATTCCTAAGCCATGCTAGACAAGCAGAAAATGGCTTATCGAAGGTTGAGGAGTTCAACAGAGCTTGAAAAATAAACATCTGAATTTAAGGACCAACAAGAACAAGAGACTCTGATAAATACATAGGCTGTCACCTGTACTTCTGAAGAAATAGATAAGATAATAGAGAGGCTGAAACCTAGATTTGAATCAATGTCTCTCTAATTGTATAGAGGTGATCTTCTCATGTAAATGTCAGCAGTCAAAATAAACCCTTTTTAGAAAACGATTACTTTATCCAAGCAGTATGATTTTTTTCCCCACGTATATAACACTGGACATTAAAGAAAAAGAATAGCAGGAAGAAATAGGACCTAGGGAGAATAACAGACAGTAGAAACAGGTTCCTAGATGCTACAGATATCTCAGAATAGATGGATCATAATTAATTGTTTAACATAAAACAATTGTTTTTGTTTTTAAATTATTTTTATGTGAAAATAACTTTTATTAATATCTTTTAAAAATGTATCTTCATTGTTGAAGGTATTACAGCTCTCCCCTTTTTTTTGTCTCCCACTGACACCCTCCTCTCCACTCTCCCCTCCCCCACTTTCCCCTGAAGTTCGGACAGTCTGTTCCATGCTTCCATGACTCTGGATCTATTTTGTTCATCAGTTTATTGTGTTCATTAGATTCCACAAATAAGTGAGATCATGTGATACTTGTCTTTCTTTGGCTTATTTTACTTAGCATAATACTCTCATTAATATCTTTTAATATAGATGACAAGCTGGAGATTTTCATAGAACATTATGTTATATAAAAAAATAAAATGGAAATAAATTTTAAACTATAATAATTTAACTTGGGATTTTGGTAAATGAACTAAATTTGCAGATTGGTTGCAAATAAAGAAAGCATAGTGATCTAAAAAATAAATAGAAAAATTGAGATAAAAGAACTATTTTCTTCTGAAAATAAAACAGTATAAAATTATAATATCCATATAAGTATAGTTGTCAAAGCAGAGGAGAAGCATGATGAGGCAAAAGTCATCTGAAGAAATAATGATAAAAAGTTTTCAAAAATGTACTAAAGACATCAAGATACAGATTCAAGATTCACTACAAACCCCAAGATAAAGAAAACTACACATCATAGTAAAACCAAAACCAAAACAAAATAATAACAACAAAAAGCTTCCTTAGAACATGCCAAAGAACAGAAAAAGAAAACATTCTTCAACTCATTTAATGAGGTAAATAAATACTGATACAACACCTAAAAAGAAAGCTACAAGGCAGGAAAATTAATGGCCATTCTCTCCTCTAAATATATTTGCAAAAATCCTAAACCAGATATTGACAACCAAATACAGAAATGTACATTAAAAATGATACATGCATCTTAAAAAAAAACATCAAAGATATAGTTGATAATGCATCACAACTAGGTTGGACTTAATTAAAGAACACATTTCAGTTGTATAAAGCCACCTAATTCATTCATATAGCGAGCATTATATTTAATTGGAACCTTCCTGGAGATTGAAAATAAAATCTATTAGTACTGCTTTTATTCAACAGTTTTCTGGAGGATTTCATCAGTGTAATATAGCAAGGGGGGAAAAAAACAAACTACAGATAAGTTTACAAATTTAAATCCATTAAAATCATGTGTGTTCTTTGTTATCTATAATATTTGTCTACACAATATGGTTATTTTCATCATACTTTACAACTTTTCCCTTAAATATTTAAAACTAATAGAAAATTTTCTGTACCATATGTTTGCTTTTCACAAGTTTGTAAATTACAACCCTGGAGTATGGTCATTTCTCAGCATTTATTTTAGGAATTTTGGCTCAGGCATATGCAGAAAGAGCAGCAGAATTCTTCCGCACATTAACACACTGAACAGAAAAGTCACAATATGACCTGCACGATACATTTAAAATTATTTTTTTCCCTTTATTGCTTTTAGAGAGAGAGGAAGAGAGAGACAGAAACATTGATGAGAGAGAACATTAGTTGGCCGCCTCCTGCATGCCCTCCACTGGGGATGGGGCCCACAACCTGGGCATGTGCCCTAACTGAGAATCGAACTGTTGACCTCTTGGTGTCTGGGTCGACAATCAACCACTGAGCCACACTGGCTGGGCCACAGTGCATTTTAAAATTCAGAATGAACATATCACTATTGGCTCTCAGGGAACTAAGGAGAATCAAAGCAGAGCTATTGGTTGCCAAATAGATTAAAACTGCCCCATTGAGATTCTGTTTCTGGTCTGGTACCAGATTGCATGAATAGGATCTAAAAGTCAAGATAATGGAGACTGCTTTGCAGAATGGTTCCAGATTGACTTAAAAGAGATTGGGGATAAAGGGACCATTTTATTTAATTAATCAATATTATTATTATTATTATTTTAATCTTCACCCACAGTTATTTTTCTACTTATTCTCAGATAGAATGAGAGAGAGGGAGAGCAAAGGAGAAAGAAGGAAACATTGATGTGAGAGGGACACATCAACTGGGTGCCTCCCAAATGACCCCACCAGGGCAGGATGAACCACAATCGAGATACTACCCTTGACCGAAATCAAACCCCCGAGTCATTGGTCCACAGGCTGATGTTCTAACCACTGAGTAAACCAGCCAGGGCTAGTTATTTTGTTTTAATCATTTTTATTTTTGAATTGCAGTTGACATACACTATTACATTAGTTTCAGGTGTATGCCCCAGTAATTATACAGTATAAAACTTACTAAATGATCATTCCACCTATCTGACACCATATTTAGTTATTAGAATATTATTGACTATATTCCCTATGCTGCACTTTACACCTCCATGACTATACTATAACTACTAATTTGTACTTCTAAATCCCATCACCTTTATCACTTATTCCCACTATCCCACTCCCATCTGGGAATCACCAAAATTTCTTTGTATCTATGAGTCTGTTTCTGTATTGCTTGATCATTTATTTTTATTTTTAGATTCAGTTGATGATAGATATGCATTTATTGCCATTTTATTGGTCCATTCAGATCCTTAGGTTAATTTCTTACAATTAAAGTAGCATACTTGGGGCAGAAAATTTTACACCTCACTAAGAATTTCATAACCTGAGAAATGTTATCAAGAGAATAATTTAATATACTTTGTTTTTAAGTTACCCATTTTGTGATGGATGCAATATTAAAACAAATTGAGGAAAAAATAGAATAATACAGTTTTAGAGTTTGGTGAGACCATAGACATAAAATGAACACGACATAGAATTTGACAGGATGAGCAAAGTCTACAAGCTAATTACTGTCAAGATGGTACCTTCTTTTATGTAATCGAGTCATCCTAACAAATACTGACTACAATACAGACTTTTCTGAAAAATTTTAAAATAATTTGAAAGAATAACTCTTAAAATAACAGTGAGCTAGAAACAGGGCTTCAATCTGTTTTTTCAGAGTTGTTGTTAATTCCTGGATTTTTTTTTTCTTAATTTTTTTATGCTTTGAGTGTCTCCATAGTATATCTAAAAACAAGCCACCTTTCCTTAAGATTGATTAATCTGTCAGAGAAATGGTTATGTTGGTTTGACATGCGTTTCTCCGTATAAAGTCACTGTTACAGTGCTTGCAAATTTCCTCATAAATCATTTCCTGATCTCAAACTTGAGTAGGACTTTCTGTCCTTGACCTTTGACTCGGATTGAGAACAAATCGGAACACTTATGGTTTTTAAGCTGAGCTT